ATCACCTCAATGTGCATCCATTTAGCTATAAATGTCTCTATAATTTCTCATTTTTTATGGCTGAGTAGTACTCCATTTTATTTAAAAACCCACATTTTCTTTATCCTGACTGATTACAACTTTAAATGACAAATTCTAGTTCTAAAATTCTGCAATGACAGGCCTAAATGTCTTAACCAAAACCACACCCATCAAATTCTATTTTTCCAGAACTATCAATTTGTCACTACTGTACTTTGCAGCTTCTTCATTTAGTACTTTCTTGTTATAAATATATCCATTTACAGCCAATGTTATGGCAGATAAATGGCTGGGAATTCTATTCAAGCACACACATAGCCATGCGTGGCAGAGTGATTTTACCAGCACTGGTGTTCTTCCCAGTATCACTCACTCTCTGCCTTACATGACGGCTACCATCAACTGGTAGGTCTGTTAGGAATGAAGATGACATGGGTTCCTGACAAGATTTAAAATCTCAATTTTATTTCTAGGAAAAACACCTGGATCACGGTACACCTTTAAATAAAGGTAGAAGACAGTCCTGAGTACTTGTTCCTATTACACACATATTACTATATATGCAACTGTCAGTGTTATGTTTGCAGGTAACAATGAAGGTTTTCTATTCACTACCCAAGGCTGAAGAAAATCTAAAACTCCAAGTGTTTATTTCACTTTTCCATCAGCTTCTGCCAGGGTAGCAACAGTGACAGATGTGATGAAATATGTAAAAAGATTTGCACATTACAAGGTAACCCTGGTACAATACCTTCACTGTGATGGAAGGGACGCGGTCAATTCCAATGTCAGCATCAGTGGCCTGCTGTAAACATAGCATTGAGAAGAGAAGGCAGAAAGAATGATTTAAATATTACTCACCAAGAAGTCAACACAGTAGCACAATATACATTTCCCACCATCAAACAGGGAACTAACTATAAAGGGTTTATAATGGCAGATTAAGAGTCAGTGTGTGTTATGCATGGAAACACCAGAGTGAATCCCACTACTGTGTACAATGAGTATGCATTAACAATCACAGCAATTAAACTAAAATAAAAATATGTTGTAAGTCACAAAAAACAGTCATTGTGGCTTTCTGGATGCCTTTATGTGGAAAGTCGTAAGCTAATCTTTAAAGCCCAGAACTCAAAAGGAAAGAAAATGTCATGTATTTTATCAATCCATTGTAATTTCTAATTTACTTAAATGTTAAAAGTATTAATTTTATTAATTTGTTCTTTATACTATGGGGGAGAAACCCTCTCCTTGTATTTTCTAGATAAAACATTATGCCATTAGTTCAGGTGCTTGTATTTTTCAACTCCCAAAAGATACATTTTATTCATATTAATAAGAGGAACCTATGACATGTAATTAACCATACAGAGACTGAGTGGTCTTACACCTAGAAAATGAAAAAGGAAGCACACTTTTTCTACCAGTGCACATCACAAACTAATTCAACATGCCCTCTTTGACCATCAGCTTGGGGTACCTGGTGCTGCTTCTCATAGAGCTCATAGTACAATAAGGCAAATATTCCTGATAACTTGGAACAATGAGAGTGATATATTGACAGGGGAAAAAGTTCACTCTGTGATAGACAAACTAATATATTTTCTAATAACACTCATATAAATTCTAATGGAAAAATCATAATTATAATGCCTGTGCCCAACCAATAAATCAGATCCACTGTGCTATTTCGAATTTATTTAAACTAAGAAAAGCTAAGCCACTTCTAAGCAATGGGCTATGATGTAATGGGCATTAGCAGAACTGAGAGTTGGAAGATTCAGATTCTGTCTGTGGCTCCACAGCAAATCATATCTGACCAAACCCTGACGGAGCTGCTCAGTCAGGAAGATGGGAGAGCAATGCTTGTCTCCTTCACAAAAGATGCAATTCTCATATAAATCATATTTCTGTTTTGAGATACATGCTTTCATAACAATGATTCAAAATAAAATATTACCCCAGGCTTTTTGCTCCATTACTGTACTTTCCAAAACTAAGGAAATGTTTCACATGAAGCTGCCTGCATTTCTAGAAGAGAAATCAACATCTCCTGTTTCTTGCTCTTTTCAATCCACATCTAAACACCTAGATCTTTCAAAGGCAGTAATCCTTTGGGAACATAAATAATAGCCAGAGAGAAATGGTCATAAGAAGACATCATGGCACCACAACCACATGAGTTGTTGAGCTAATGTTCTCCAGTGGAATGAATACGATACTCTTCAGAAATCTCTTAAGGAAAAAATAGCAACAGCAGGAAAATGAAGTGGGAAGGAAACACCTAGTGAAGAGGAAACAGCACACATGAGGTTACCGGCAGGAAAATATATCTTACAACACAGCACTTCCACATAAGGCCTTTTCCTACAAAGACCAGGAGTTCTCCCCTCAAACAGAAAAGGAATTCCTTCTCAAAAAGCCTTTGCTTAAAAAAACCTAGAAAAAAATTATACGAGCTGCCCAATGAGGGAACAAAGAGCCATTTCCACAGAAGAAAACGTGTACATTTGTCAGCTGGCTAAGCAGAAATGCTGCCCTCAGACCACTCCACAGAGCAGGAGGCCGGTGAGTGCTAAGGAGCAAGTCCAGGGCAGGGCCGCACTGTGCGACCCAGCTGGGTGACAGCTCCCATACAGAGGCCAACTTCTTCAAAGTGTTCCAGACTTACCACACCAAAGCAATGGGAGCATGATCGTCTTCACAATTTGGATGAGCTGTTTATTCTAGGATTAACCTTTGGAGACTCATGACTACTTATATGATGCACTCATACTCAAATATCAAAGACATTTCCCAGGCAGATTTATATGATATGAATTCCAAATATGGTAAAATGAACAACTTCAATCACTTCCCTAACCTCATCAACTTTCAGCATACAAAGATAAAGTTAATAAACTCTGCTCAAACTCAGGCAATGGGACAACCGGTCACAGCCCAACAAGTACTTACAAAGACCGAACAAGGAGATGGGCTTATACCCAGAACAGTCTCCCCTCACCCTTCCTGTCGCTGTTTTATTCATTCATAGAGTAAAAGGTACTTAGCACCCATTCTGTGGTAAGCACCAAGGATAGAAGTGAACAAGACAAGCAGTGGGGCATAGGTGCCAGTAATGGTGACGAGGATGATGCCAGGGGATGTAAAAAGTAATTTAATGATGATAATTATCATAACAATTCAACAAAATATATTTTATTCTTACTCCCATTCTGCAGATGAGAACACTGTTTTGGATCACACAGACAGAAGCAAAGGGGAAAATAATTCCTGGAGCAACTACTGTGCTCTTAAACTGCACTACCACCGTCACCATAATGTATTAAAAGCATACATCATCAGTCCCTCCACCGGGTCATTTGCAAACATTGTTTCAGTGAACTTCATACACAGTATTGAGGGGTGGTGCTATTTATCTGGATTAGGATTATCTCAATGCTATGGTGCT